CAAAGCAGCTGCTGAAATGTTTTCATCTTTGAGCTCGATCACTTCCTGGTTCGATTCCTTCATGCCATGAGCGAACATGGCGTGAAAATAATCGCTGCTGGCAGCAAGCACAATGCGATGAGCTGAGAAAATTTCTTCTCCAACTTTTAATCTCACGTCAATGAATTCACCTTGCTCTCGGAACTGAGCGCACTTTGACAAAAGAATCTCAGAATGCCCAACCATATTTAAATCGGCTAAAAATCGTTAGAGGCTTGGATTGCGTGATTGCGTGATCTTGCATCCTATCAATTACGATAATGATAACGTGAGCTTTGAAGCGTCACGGAAGACCCTGGACGAAGTTGTTTATGAGAAAGCTCATACCTTAATGTACAGCTGTGTTGATACGGCTTTAGAATATTTCCTCTTTCAAGATTTATGCGAACACTTCGACAGAATTATGCTGTAATGCAGTCCGACATATAAATGATTAGCATCATTTAATATCGAAGTAGAATGAAGAATGTTTCAACTGTGGTTTGAATTTTGGTTTCTTTTTCTTTTGTGATCATGTAAATATAAACTTAGGACGGATTGAAAGAATGAAGTTTTGCATTAGATATTAAACAATTAAGTAAATCCTATATTGACCAAGCCTCTTCAGTCAGGAAGGTTGAAGTATGACTTCGGTCAACCTCATCCCCAGGGCTTTTCCCTTAAAAAATGGGTGGGGCGGGAAAAGGCCCTGGCATCGGCTAGTCACGTGTCTCCTCGTTCAAAAAAATAAAAATAAGAATACAGGTCATATAGGATAAGTATAAACCAACGCGTGTCGCAATGATATGGCTGAGAGTTAAGGTGAATAGAACTAGGCTGTGTACGGCGGCCCACTTCGCAAGAAATGAAATAAAATATCAGAAGAGTGGAGAAAGCGGACTTTTCCAGTACAACCTTCATGCACGTACGATAGCTTGTTTGTCATTTATACCGCTCGATAAACAGAAGTTTTAAAAATGTTACTCGCTGTCCCCTGCATAGAAATAGGAGGGAAACAAAAAAATTACCATAGCCAGTATCTGTGAAAAAAGGAAACCTTGTAAAACTTTTCGTTCATCGTCAAGAGATATAAAAGGTCGCCCAAGATCGCGCGCTGTGAGGTTACGCATAATTTTAACTTTTCACATGGTGCTAATTTATTACACCCAGGATTTTAGGGTGTACGAGGAGACACGTGACTAGCCGATGCCAGGGCCTTTTCCCGCCCCACCCATTTTTTAAGGGAAAAGCCCTGGGGACGAGGTTGTGGCTTCGGTCCAACGCGAAAAAAAAAAATGGCTAAAATCCAGCTATCTTGACCTCACGCTTGGTCAATAACGTATTTATAATATACTCTGAGTACAGAATGTTGCCTCTGGTCGACGGATATTTGGTGTTGGTCTCAACAGTATTCATATGTGGCGAAGAGGGGCGGGGGAGACTAACTGTCGTAAGGAATAAATAACAGTTATTCACCGAAGTGGAGGTGGCTAGTCGTGTAAATTTGCCGAACTGCGAAGCAGTGAGGTAAATATCCACGACTAGCCACCGACACTGAGGTGAATAATTGTTTTAGTATATACTAAAACAGTGAGATAATTGAGCACAAAAATGATGGTTTTTAACTCAAATACTGTTGCCAACGATTACAATTTTGGCGCGTAATGACCGGGCGACCGCGCGCGGCCGTCGCTTTTTCTTGCCGACAATTAAAACTTTTGAAGGCATTTGTTTAGCTCTTGCGGGGAAATTTCTTCAAAAGGAGTTGTGAATTCTTTTTGTATTTAAAATCATTCTATAAAAAAAGATTATTAAATTTAGTTTTAAGCTTATTTATGAACAACTCAACTAAATAAA